GTAATTGTACAATACGTCCTGACCAATAAACGAACCTAACTCCACGTCACAAACTATATTCAAGAATCAAAACAGCCATGACTAGGCACTGCCTGAGAGGAGAGTTGACAAGGAGCTCCAACCCCAACAACCACACGAAAAACACCTTAGTATATACGGAAAGATAGAAGTGTCCACACTGTAAAGATGAAACCAAATACTTTGCTTCTCTCTACTGTCTGGATTGCTTGGTTTTAATCACTTTTTTCTGCATTTGGAGCATTTAATGGGCTTAGATATCAAACTGGGATGGTTGCTGTTTATTTATTCTTTTTTACCACTGTATAGTCTTAAGAATAACCCAGAATCAACACGACACTGAAAATGAAACATTTTTCACTAGCATTCTATCATGGAATGGTCTCCATGAGTATTCAAAAATTACCTTAGGAAAAATGCCCATGCACAAAGATTATTGTAAAGAACTACATAAATTAACATTTAAACATATAAAGAAAGTATATTAACATTAATAAAAGGCATTTCAAGCAAAAATGTGGAACAGCAGAGACACGATTAGCAAAATATCATATTGACAAGTGCATAGTAAAACATAACTACTTGGCACCTCGCAGTTATGAGTTATGTGGTCAACGTAGTATTTTTCCTCATAATGTAAACAAGATGAGCGACTTAGTCTCTAAGCGGCGATATGCAGTGGCTATTTTCATCTTTTAGCAGTCAATAAGAGGCTGCTAGAGCTGTACCTATGTTGTTTATGACCATCTCTTATGCTCTGTAAGATAGTGGTGTTCATTTCCTGATCTCTGTACGTCGCTCCCAATAACTTAAGCTAAATTTTCCTGCAACATTTCCAATAATGCTTCATTTTCTGTCATTCAGCCCATTATAGGCAAATTTACCTTGTACTATATGGCTTTGGGAAACTGAAACTATAACTTTTTTGCAACTAATGGAACATTACAAGTAATGAGAGGAGCTAAGAACAAGCCAAGGGAGTATCTCTGCGGACATCAAGAGAGCTTCTTATAATTCAAGTGAAATTCCCATTCCTTATGTCATTGCTGCTTACCTCTTTGATTCATCTACAGAGTGATTCTGAGCAAAGAAAGAAAAATGTTTCGGGTATTGTTTCTAATACGTCCACAGAACGGATCACGACAATTTCGGTATCATTTAATTCCTATCATCATTACAGTGCAAATAAATATGTTATATTGTGTAAAAAAAAACCAACCCCACATTCTTGGCCCAATAGCAAGGGAGGGCATGAAAGGTACCAAGGAAATTATGGGGTAAAATGTAAATGATATGTACAGAATCATTCACTATATTGACTAAGATTTTCCATGGGGTCCTAACCCCCGCCCAGGAAAACAAAAAATCCTTAGTAAATTTACAGTGGATAACAATCAGGGTAACAATAAAAAAAAAGTATGTAATGATTACCTTGACATAACCTATTGCACTTTTCATCTATGGCAAAAGATGCACAAATCAAAAATAAAGGAGATACATGACAGAGATGAGAGAAAATTGACCCACCTTTTCCCAAGTTCTTCGCCATATTGACATCGCAAGCGTAAACAATGCCATGAACACTTATATCATTCCTGCCCTCTTTCAAGTAGTTCATGAATTATTACGCGCTTGCGAAGACAAATATTTTGTAAATTTCAATGTCTGATTTTAGTAATTCATGTATTTTATGCATTCCTTTATTTTAAGTACTTTTCTTTTTATGTGTTTTGATAGTTTTATGCTTTTCTTTACAAAAGCCTAATGTGCACTTACACTTTCAACCAGAACTTTCAGTACCTCGCAATCGCCATTCTTCAACAAAACGCCATTGAGGACTGTTACATTTTCAGTGTTGCGTCTATTCTGGAGCTTTAGTAAAACAAAAAGTGGCTATGCAGAAGAAATAGACCTTAGTAACTACCACAGCTTGTTATTTGAGCCCATAAAGTGCCCTGAAGTGCTGGAAAAAGTTATTAGAAACCAGGTGATTCAGAATATTGACAGAAATGAAAGAAAGTTTCATGCCTCAAGATATAAAGGTGTTTGGTTTATTCTCTAAGGAATGTATCCAGCTCTATCTCCCCGTACACAGTGAGGTAAAGAGAATGTTTCCAGGGGGTATTAGAGGGCAGAGCCCCCCATCAACCCTCTCCTTGGGTAGTGCCTGAAGGGCACACCTAGTCACAGAAACTTAAACTGTTGAATAAAGTTTGTGACACGAAATTACGTTGCTTTATTGGTCAGGACGTATTGGGTGCAGTAAGTTTCCTTAGAATTTACCGAGAGCTGGGTTGGACATGTCCATGCAGTTTCATTTGCCAATTTTAAGTTTTTATTGATCTATTTATGTATCTTATTTATTATTATTATTATTTTTTTTATTATTATTTATGTGTGTGTGTGTGGGGAGGGGGGGGCTGGTTTATGCATTTCTGTTATCAATTCTTCTTATTTCAGCATGTTTTACCCCATAATTTCCCTGATATACGTCACGCCCTCCCCTGCTATCAGGGCTTAACATATCAAGATTGTCAGCTGTAATTGCTACAGAAATGATCCATCATATTCATTCTCATTACACGAGAATAAATCTGATGATATAAATATTGTCTGCAAAATCCTGATTGTTATAAATAGTAAAATAACCGAATCCTCCACTTATTCATGGCAGGAGAAAGTGTTGGAGACTTGGCAACACCACTAGCATGGCAGTTGTACACTCTAAGTTAGTTCAGGCTACACGCGTAGATAGAGGCTTAATTCATTACTGCAATATCCGAAGTAGGTCATGTGTTACTACACGCTTGTCAAAATGATATTTGGCTAATTATCAGTGTCTGCTGTTACATATTTATGCATTCAAAGCCTTTCATTAATGTTATTACACTTCATTTACATGTTTTCAGAATTATCTACACACTTATTTAGAATTATGTGCACATCGTGCGTTTCACACTTTCATTCGGCAGCTGCTAGGTTTGGCAGATCAGTAGTCATTCAGTGACAGAACACCAGTGAGAAATGTTCTATTTCCAGTGCTGTGTTGATTCTGGGTTATTCTTAAGACTATACAGTGACAAAAAAGAAGTAATAGACTTCAGTAACCATCCCAGTTTAATATCTGAGCCCAAATTCCCCAAAAAGTTATTAAAATAAAAGCAATCCAGATGGTGGAAAGAAGTTTTACATTTCTAGATATAAAGGTATCTGGTTTATTATCATACGTTGTGATTGCAACTCTATCTTACCCTACATACTGAGGTGAAGTGAATGTTTCCAGGAGATCATGGGCCATCAACCCTCCCCTCGGGCACTGCCCAGAGAGCACACCTAGTCACAGCAATGTAAATTGTTAGATAGGTTGATTTATTGGTCAGTATGTTTTTAGGGGGTTTGGAACATGTCACATCCCATAGAGTTTGCCGAAAGGTGGGTTGGGTTCCCGTAGTTTTTTAATTTTGGTGTATTAGTCCGTAGAATTTCAAAGATGGCAGGTACGTCTGTAGAGTTTCATTGGCCAATTTTAAGCATTTATTGTGCTAGTTTTATTGCAAGCCCCCCATCACCCCCCCGGGACACATTCTCTCCACCTTAGTATGCATGGCAAGATAGAGCTGCACTTACACAGTAAAATAATAAACCAAATACCTTTATATCTGCAACCGTCAAACTTTCGTTCTCTTCCTTCTACCATCTAGATTGCTTCGATTTTAATCACTTTTTTCTGCATTTGGAGCTCTTGGTGGGCCCACATATCAAACTGGAATCATTACTGAAGTCTATTTTATCTTCTTTGTCACTGTTTAGTCTTCAGAATAACCCAGAATGAACACAACACTGGAAACCCAACATTTCTTACCGGCTTTCGTCTCGAAATGAGCGGGCCGGCTAGGTGTCAACCTGGCAGCAGGCCAGTGAGTGAAAAGGACGTATGAAATGCAGAATGCGCACGAATCTAAATAAGGCTATAAATCAATCTTAAAACACGTAAATGAAGTATGAGGACATTAATAAAACACTTTAAGAGCATGAATGTGTAACATTATACACTGATAAGTAGCCAAATATTGTTTTGACATGCACGCAATGATACTGGAATTACTAAGGGCATCGCATTAAGGAATGCGTTCAGTGTTATGTTTTTCTTTGCAAGGTAAACAAGCTCATCAACTTTGAATTTGAAAGGCGAGCGCGCATTATATTTTCATCATTTAGCGGTGACTGTAAGGCCTCTGCATCTTGTACCATATCCTCTCCCACTCTATTTCTTCTGCTCTATAAGATGACAGGGTCCAATTTGCTCTATCTACGTGCGTCGGTCTCTGCCATCTCTACAAATACATCAATTTTTCCGACTGTCTCAGGGAGGGGCATCACTATCAGTGACAATTACCCCTCCCTGTTATTGGGGCCAAGAATGTGGGGCTTTGCGGGTATCCACACAATAATTTCTATATATTTGTTAACTAGACAGAGAGGTATCCAACAATACCAAAATCATCAAGATCGGTTATGCGGACCTGTTAGAAAAAAATTACCATGTTTTGCAGCTCTGGTCATCTTTTTTTCTCAAAACCCATCTGTCTACTGATACCCGAAATTAATTCCATCCATAGTCTGCATATCTCTCCCTCACTACACCATAAATTACACCAAGCAATTAATATAAAACTTGTCAAAAGCTACATCTTACTGCCTATCATTTTATATCTGAGAAAAATGCCATAACGATCATATTAATCAATATGAACGCCCATGCCCGGCATTTCTCGGCATGCAATTATGGCAACATTATACCGGTTTAGAGAGCTGATAAAAGGTGACTTAGAACTTTGGTGATGATCTATCAAATGAAATCAGGTCAAGTGCAGATCATCGTAAAGGAATCAAACGTGTTTTATATAGCGACAGCTGGACATTGTACTGCACGTACACTGAGACACAAGTGTATACTTATATCTTAAAAAAAAAATCCTTACCTGAATCAGGGCAGCCGATGCACACGTGGATCCATAATATGAGGGTGCGAGATCTTTACTCGAAAACCGGTTCAGTGGTTCCATTTTGTACATGCATCCCGGCAATTGCACGGCACTGGGCATTTTCACCTGTTTTGGCAATTCATACATGGGTGTTGCGACCGACATTGTGCAGAGTTTAAGTAACGACTGTCCCTCCCTCTGAGCGCTCACACAGCACTGCCGGTGCAATGGGTGCCTCTCCTGTTATATTTGTGTATAAGGTTTTGGAGGGAGATACTTGGGATCGGATTCCCTTTCTGGCCCGATAGAGTGTCGGAATCCCGTATTCAAGAACTGAATTGGTTCCGCTAAATGTAATTACTGTGCATGTAATAAAATTTTTATTGGCTTTGGTGGTTTTGAGAAACACGTTACTTGAACGTCTTGAACATGAGAAATGCATTTTCATCCTTTAGATTTAATTAAACTTGACCTTTTCATACCACATGCTTCGCTGCCACATCGCCTCGTATCGATTTGTCATTTCGCACATTTCACCCTTTTTATTTCCTATGTAGCTCTCCCAATGTCTCTGGGAAACTGTGTAACCCGAGTCCCATATTGCGCCTTCGAATTACTTTAGCGAAATAAATGGGTAATGTCACAACACAACCTGTTGCCTAGACGACTTGCAACCCGCGCTCTGATTGGCCGAGGGTGTGAATGGCGTCTGCCTCTTTTCTCTTCTCAAAGTCGTCCCGAGGAAGTTATCCGTCACCACAACCTGCTCATACCATCAGGAGTGCCGTTGTTCACGCGTCCCTTGGGGAAAATGTGAATCAGGAGCCCCCGTTAGTTCAGGTCGACTAAACGTATCAAATTGGTGCTCGTCATGGCGGGCGAAAGGGCGAGCCAATGAGCGCGGGCGAGACAGAGCGTTGTGTGCGAGGCCATGGCAGGCGGCTGCGAGCCTATTTCCCGCTGAAGCAAGTCTTTTCTCGGGAAGCAAAGACCTTTTCCGCCTCTCCCCCTCCTTTGAGTGTTCGTAAGTGCAGGCCAGCGGGCGACATGTGCGAGTGAGGGCGCGGGGGCGTGAGGAGAGAGACGCAAATGGCGAGAGATGAGCTGGGTCACGTGACCTTGCGCTGAAAAATGGCGGCGGAGTTTGGGAAGGTTTGAAGGCGACGCGAGAGATGTCAGTCGCGTTGGTTTGTTTGTGTTTACGCTGATCAGGGACCAGCGCCCTCGCCACAGGTGCTCTCAGCCTCCGGACCGGCGAAATGTCCGAGAGGAAGAGGAAAAGAGGGCGGCCTCGCTCCACTCCAATGCTGAGTTATGGGGCAGAGATGAAGATGAGAAATAGCGTAACGAGAATAATTAAGAAGCCGAGATACCTCTTAGATCAGGAGGAGGACAGCAACCCCTCGAGGTCGTGCTCGCCCTCAAGATACCCCGAGGGCGGGGAGTTTCGCGGCGTCGGCGGTGCCCACAGCAAGAACAAGCGGGGATATAACCCTGACATCGACGACAAGGACTCGGAGTACCTGTATGGCTCTGACTTCGAGGTGGAGGAGATCTCAGAAAAGGAGGAGTACAGTGACTCCAGGAGCGTGAGTGACGATGACATAGACATAGGGGAGTTGGATGAGGACGAGGGACTGTCAGATGGGGAGGCGTCCATTTCCAGCTTCAGCACCAATGGAGGGACACCCTCCAAAGTGCCTAGCTCACGCCCTCAGACGCCTATCCCTGTGTGGCTGCAGGACCGGGATTATCCTCCCCTGGAGCTGCCCGAGTCGTCCGATGACCTGCTCCTACCCCAAGCCTATGTCCTGCGGGCCGTGAGTATCTACGAGGTGTTGCGGCATTTCCGCACACTGGTGCGGCTCTCACCCGTGCGGTTTGAGGATTTCTGTGCAGCTCTTATGGCGGAGGAACAAAGCTCCCTGCTGGCTGAGGTGCACATGATGCTGCTGAAGGCCCTTATTCGGGAGGAGGACTCTCAGCAGACCCAGTTTGGGCCCCTCGACCAGAAGGACTCCATCAATGTCATCCTCTACTTTATTGACGCGCTGACCTGGCCAGAGACTCTCCGGCTGTACCTGCAGAGTGACTATGAGTTCAGAGACACACTTTCCATCCTGGACAGTTGTGACTACCCATACACATCCCTCGAGAACAGGTTTGTTTTGCCGTGACAGTTTTCTTTAGTTTCAGGGTCAGAGAAGGCTTTATAGGTGCCAGTTTTGCTTTTGCTATCCCATTTGTAGAATGTGGTAAAAACATTGTGGAATTGCTGTTAGGCTCATTTAGCTAGCATAGGGAATTTAACTTACCATTGAACATGTTATGAGTTTTTGAAAGTAGGTTCTCTATGATGCGCATTTTCTGCACAGGGGAATGAACGAGTCCTATAAAGCCTCTCAAAAAAAAAAATAACATTTATCTAAAATGCCATAGTTTATTTTTTATCTTTTTTTGACTGAATATCAGATTGTGAATGAAGAAAAGATTTGATACCTTATGATTGAGTTTCAACAGCCAGTCACAATGCCTTTTTTTTTTTTTTTTTTTACATAGGCTGTGTATAGCACATGTCTTGAGAGTTTAAATCATTGTACTGTAATTGGTTGCCAAATGTATCCATAAATTGTAGATGTATTGTCAAGTATGGAACCAAGCCAAGCCAAGCTGTTTTACCATTGTACAGGTTGTAAATATTTATTGGCCTTTGCCTAAGTGCAGAAGGCCTGATGCCATACTGTCTGACACCACTGCTTTTGTGTATATTACATGTAAAATTTGATGATCAACTAATGATTAGAAGACTGGGTGTTATCCTTAAACAGATTTTTTTAGTGTGTATGGGAGTTGGACACCTTGACAGTATATGAAAATGGTAGATTGATGGTATCTACAACATTTAATATCAATGACATTTCTGTTAGTGATTGAAAGTAAAAGAGTTATTTAATACAGTTATATGGGTATTTGTTAACAAGAGCAAAGCACCCTACAGAGACAAAGTCCCAAACCCAGGGTAGCATACAAACCCAAAAATTCAAACCAAGCCTTTCCCACTTTTATTTATTCCCTAGACAGGGTAGGCAAGCATCTATCTCTGTGTTGCTCTTTGTAACATTCATTGAAATATGATAATGGTAGCATTTCCTTCAGCCATTATCCTTCACTGTTTTTGTCTTAGTTTACATGTACTTGATGTAAAAAAATGTTTAAATAAAAACATTACTGTACGTTCAAATCATCCTCTTAAAATAAATTGCTGAAGACTACCCTAAAAAACATTTCTGTACGTTCAGATCATCCTCTTAAAATAAATTATTGAAGATTACCCTAAAATCAACAGGTTTATCATAAGAAAGGCCTTTCATGCTGCTTATTATCAGGGGCTTTTAGAAGGTCAGCTGATCTATGTGTTGTATTCTTAGAAATGTATGTATTATAAGTTTAGTTTGTGATATCTCAATATTAATTGAAGGAAGGGACTACTAGTATGGCAGAAAAGCTTCTGATTGGTGTCCTGCACATGCATGATGAAAGAAACAAGGTGGTAGCGTCTTGACACGAGAAGATACCAATCTTGATTAGGTTAGATTACGTTAGTTACGTACTTTTATCCATAAATTGTTTATATCTGCACACGCATTTGCGTGCGGTCTGTCTAAATGTGAGAAATCGGATATGGCTAGTGTACACGTAACCTCGGCCTTCATTGAAATATCCAGTTCAGACACTCCTGTTATATAAGTGGTGGAAATTTATTGTTCTTTTACATGCAGCAGGTGTACGACCCAAGCAAGTAAATTGTAAAAGAATGGCACATATTACCAGTTCAGTATATAATTTGTGTTGCCTGGGCCACTTGAAAAATCCCAGGTTCTCATAGGCCTCACAAACCTGTTGAAAGGAATAGGGAGAGTGCTAGGTCACAAAATTAAATTTTTTTCATGAAAATGAACATAATTTTTATTCAAAGCACATCACAACAAACAAAAAACTGAATTATATGAGTTCTAGTTCTCATACATGGAAAGAATATCCTTTTTTCTTTTGGGAATAGTTGAGTTGTATGATCAAAAATCACCAGAATCTTGTTCTTATCAGTTACGAAAGCCTACAATCAAGAGGCTGACATATTTTTGTCATGTCAAGTGATCCCCGTTATACATTGCGCTTTGGCAAATGCCAACAGACCTTCACACATATTTTTTGATAAGATGTTTCTATGCTTGTTTACAGCTATATATGTTTTTTTTTAGTCATGTTGATTATATTGTTCATATATTTGGGTACGTTGATACAAACAAATTATGCCAGTGCAAACTAAGGATGTAGGAATATTTTTCTTTGATTGAGAAATTAGTATTTTTTATCCTTTGTGACATTCCCTTGACAAAGAGAAAAATATTTAACCTTTTTTTATTCATAGAGATATTCATCTTAAAGTTGGTCTGGTGTAGAACTATTTGGTATAGATGTATAGCTTTTTATGTTTGCTGAAGGTTTTAAAAACAAGATGAGCAGGCTTAAGCAACATGATGCAATAGCCAAGGTGCATACATTTCCTATTGTTTGTATAAAAAAAAGTCCATCTTAATATTCATGTAGTTTTTCAGTTTGGAAGAGAATAATGTAGTACCTACATTGTTTCTTTCCTCAGCTTCATGCCCCCCCCCCTTACACAAAAAAATGATTATATGAAAAAAAAGAATAGGAATTTGTATATGCAGAAGCAATTTCATGAATTATGTTTGTTTATGTCATGCTAGGTTAGTTTTCAGCTTAGTTTAGTATATGATAATTCATTACATCCCAAATTGTATTTTCAAGATATTTAACTTCTCATCTAACTCCCAAAAGCATCTTCAAGAATTTTGTGTGCTGTGCTGGTGCAGTGGTTAGCTTGTTGGAATAGCAATCTTGCAGACTTGCATTCAGTCCTGCATGTGGCCAGTGAATGGTAACCCTGGCCATTCCATTCCATTGCAATTTTCAGC